AAATTAAATAATCGGTGAAAATATTTAAGGCAGTTTTGTGCGCTTTGAAGGTTTGCATGAAGTCAAATATTTTCCCAGACTTCCTTATATGAAAGCAACAGGCACTTTTCATATCAACCTGTGCTACAAGTGCATTTCACCAAGGAAAATTATGTGTTTTATCCCCAAATTTAGTGTATAAATATGCATAAAAATATTCTTATTGGCAGGGCAAGAAAAGGAGGGAATGTGATTAAGATTCATTACAAGGTTGTAAAGACTGGGCTAGGATGTAGCTTCCATACATCAGGAGACCAAAGACATGACAGGCCTTCACCTTGGAAAGAGAGATGAACAGGGTTATGAAAGTCTACAGTGTTGTGAGTGGCATGGAAGAGGTTACTGCAGAATGATTACCAATGTCACAAAACAAGAGCTGGAGAGCACAAAATCAATTCATCAGACAACAAGTCTATGACAAATAAAAGGCAGTTGTTTTATGCAGTGCATACTTAGAATATTAATTAGTACCCAGTTAGAGTGATGACCATAAAACTGTGGGGATGACAAAATTATAAAGATGCTGAAAGAGACACTTGGAAAATGAGAGTCTGAAGGTCTTTGAAGACAGTGGTCCAGTTGCTTCTCAAATTAAGATGGACTCAGAAGAACAATCGTATCTCTTCCTTGGAACACAGCTCCACTTCAGGAGCTACTATACCTGCAATTAATACATAGTGAGCCACATCTTCCTTATATCCCTTTTAGTCAGATGGCAATCAGTTCCATCAGCAGCAGACTCCTTTTTCTGTGTTGAATACATCCCCCATTCCCCATCCCTACTTGCTCCTTTCTTTCTTACTTGTGAAGGAGTGAAGTACTGCTGGGAGAACAGCTGGGATGTCTTAAGATCAGGAGTCCTTCAGGGAGCTGGGTGACAATGCTTTTTTTGCTGTACAGGCAAAGGATGATCTGGAATTAAGGAAGTGGACACAGAGAGATGGTGCAGTGGGAGTGAGGTGAAGTGCTCACATGCTCCTACTGAGCATGAACAGAAAAAACAGAATTCCAGGGAAAGGGACCCACCTCACAATAATTATTCTTAGCTCTTTGCTCTGCAGAGGATGGCTTGCTGCTGAGATTTATAGATAACAAGAGAAAAGGTTTATCCCAAGCGAATGATTGTAACTATTTGCTCATTATCTAAAACTTGGTTCTTGGCCTTTGCTTCTGGTGGAATTGGAATCTAACATTCAGCAATGCAAGAATTGGATGATGCTGCCATGAAGACCCGTTATTCATTGTGACCACAGATAATAGATAACAGGGTGAGCATTACACTGAATATTAAAATAAACAGAATCTGTCTGCTCCCTTTCTCCCCAGCAACACTTTCAAGGCTGTTTGCATGAATCCAAAAATGCGCCAACGCAAGATACTTACTCTTGCTCACAAAAATAGTTTTATCAAAATTATCCTTTGGGGCTATTACTACAAATACATCCCATGAGGAGAATTCACTGTAAGTAGGACACAGAGGAAGAAATCTCACTTACAGCTTCATCTGTGGTGTCTGTCTCACACAGTCAACACCTTAACTCCAGAAAACTGTGTCTGTTCAAAAGTCAAGACCATGTTCTTTCCTTTCCAGTAAAAGATTTGCACAGAAATATCAGGGAATGATTTTACCATTTTGGGTCACAATTCTCAGTGTTAAAGGGCTATGTTTTCTAGGGCAGATCATTAGGATGAGATAAGAAAGTCTGATGAAAACATTCAGTCCTTTTTAACATGTAATGTTGATACTTCAGAGAACAAAAATACAAAACTGATCACAAAAATTGAACTAGGTCAGCAGCATTTCTTCTCCTCTCAAAACACTCTTGAGTACTGCCAGCTGGAAACTCAGAGTATGTTATGCCACAACGACTGCAGAATAATTTTGTAGCCTGTAATTGTGTTTTAATTCTCACTCTGGTTCTAGAGCTATGCTAATATAGTGTGAGAACAGCCACAGAAAGTATTTTGGTGGTACTTGTGACAGCTAATTAGCATATTTCACACCTGCACTGAGTTTTACACTGTAATACATAAAACTAATTTCACAAGTGTAAGAGAAAAATTTATTCTCTTTCCTGACATGTACACTGCATTGGAAAAACATTTGCAGGATTATCTAGGTACACTATCAACAATAATGGCAATTATGTGTAATGTTATTGCTTTTGTTGTGTTTCTACATGCATGGATAACATACAAAATAAGACAGATTCCTAATGTGTTAACAAGAGAAACACAAAAAATCAATTTTGTTTTCATGCTGGATCCCAGAAGTAGGTTTTCAAAGACAGAAATGGCAGGCTTGTTTAAATCCCATAGAAATTCACTTATGACACATTTATGCCTTTAAGAAGTCTGCAGCTTTGGATTACAAAAGACTAGAATTAAATCTGAAGGCTTTGATTCTAATACCATTTTTACACAGCCAGCAAAGTCATGCAGTGTTCAAAGAGATGGCTACTTATTACAGAGTATGTTCAGCTCACAAACAACATATTCACTTAATTCCTAACAGAAAGACTTATGGACTTGTGTTACTCCACGCATAGGAATAGACTTGCTAAAGAAATTGCAAATGAGGGAAAGTAAAATTGTGTGAGGTACACAAGCTTTGAGGACCCTACCATCTTGTTTGGTGTAAGTAACCACCACACGTCACAGACACATTTTCTGAAAAATCCTTTCCTTAGGATTTTTTCTCCTGAGAAGCTGAGAGGCCTCAGGAACAAAATGTAAACAATGGTTATCTGCTGCTGTGGAATGCAACAGGTGGATCTGTGATTGGTCTCATGTGGTTGTTTCTAATTAATGGCCAATCACAGTGAGTTGGCTCAGACTCTGTCCGAGACACAAGCTTTTGTCATCATTCTTTCTTTTTCTATTCTTAGTTAGACTTCTGATTAAATACTTTCTTTTATTTTTTTAGTATAGTTTTAATATAATATGTATCATAAAGTAATAAATCAAGCCTTTTGAAACATGGAGTCAGATCCTCGTCTCTTCCCTCATCCTAAGACCCCTGCGAACACCGTCACAACCACGCCACAGAGGTATTCCAGTGTCACTCTCTATTATCACCTATACAGAAAGAAAAAGCTAGTCCAAACCTTACACACCAACAGATAATAGCAGGTTTAAGCTATGACAGGTTTAAGCTATAAAAGACAAAGATTGTTGTCTTTTTCCCAACCTGGAAGTGAAACTTGAGATAATTTTTGTAAGGAGGTAATATAAAAGGGGAACTTTATTTGAAGGCCTTCAGAAGCAGTTATGGAAAAATGTCCACAAAAGCCCATCCCTCCCCAGGGATAAGTACATTTTTAAAGGTTCAGAAAATTAGCATAATTGACAAAAAATACCAATTAGGAAGACAAGTGGTGATGCAATTCTTCCCCGAGGCCAAGTCCCTTCTCTGGAGCCCCCCCTTCAGCATTTGTTGTACTTTGCCCATGAGATTTATCTCAGAGAGTTGTTCCGAGCCTTGGTTCCCAGGAAGAACCAAGATAGCATGGAACCTTGTACCCCCAGGGCTTGGAGCTCTGGAATATGTTTTGTCTTTTGCTTAGGGAAAGGCCATGGAAAAGTACTGGGAAAAGTAGCTACTAATACAATGGGACAGAGTTACAAATATGTTCCAGTGTGATGCCATTTCCTGTTTCACCTATCCCAACCCCCCAGGTGTGCCAACCTCTCCTTTCCCCTCCCCCTCTGCCCTCCTGCTGAGAGCTGTCCGTCAATCTTAACATTCCATCAGGGTCGTGGTGTGGTTGGCAGAAGTTCAACAGATGCCCCTCAGGTCCAGGCTCATTGGCCTGTCCAAGTGTCTTTATCCCTTGAACCTTCCCCTCCTCCCACCTGGTTGGTGGCTCACCTGTCCCTTCCCCTCCCCCTGTCCCCGGGCTTAAAAGGAGATGGGACCATGCAGTCGGGATTCTGTTGGGAGCTGTTACAAGATTCAGAGGTCTGTCATCCTGGAATAAAACTCTGGATTAAAACTCTACGGCAGAATCCTCTCCTGTTTCTCTTCACTGCCACCTGAACCTTTTCCACCAGAGGTAAACTGAGTTTCTACTATGCCTGGATTTGTTCCGAGTGCCTAGCTGCAGCATCCAGCAGGCCAAAGGTATCTCTGAGGTAAAACACCACAGCTGCCACCTTTGGCCCAGCAGCAAGGGTCAGACGAGGCCAGGCATGTCCCACCCGGAAATATTGGGATTAATATTCCATACAAATATATGCGTGAAAAATACAGAGAACATATAGAGGAAAAAAAAAAGGGAAAACCCAAATGGCATCAAGATCTGTGAGTAAAAACAGCAAGGTTCACAATAAAGCATTTTCTTTGTCTATTGTTTCCAAATATGCTTGGAAGGCTGACTGAGAAAATTCTATGAAAAAAACTATCAAATAACTGAGGTGATTTGTGAGATACTGATTGCTATCACAGTTATTCTTAGTTGTACAAAAATATATATATTCATTCTTCTTATCAATTATACTTATTCAGTTACCAGTGCAGCTCCTTGTGCCCAAAATGTTGACTTTTTTTATCGGTGCTATGAAGGCAAACAGGCTATAAAACACTCAGTGAGAAGAAAAGTATTTACAGTGCATCTAACACCCACCCAAAAAACATCCATACAGATAAATAACCACAATCTTATATTACAAAAGTACGTTGGCTTTGATTCAGCCCTAAAATAGATCCCTCTGGCACTGGAGCTGACAGTAGCTGTGGAGTCAGCCTGTACCTTCTCTGAGCTTTGCAGATGAAGAGTGAAGAGTGTGCATCCTCTGGGGAGGAAGACCTGAAGCAGATAGGGGAAGGCAGCATTTCCTATGCAATAGAAATACACACATGCCCTAGCATACATTTGGCAACAATGTCCTGACCTGTGGTTCACATAGCTACAGTCATCTCAGGAGAAACAAAGAAAAATAAATAAGTTTTAGAAACTGACCTGTTTTTCATTTTCATCCTCCAGTCTCAGCCTGTCCTCAATGCAGTTCCTGGCCTGAAGGAATGCCTTCCTCTGAGCCCTTTCTGTCAAAATCCTCACAAAGACCCCATACAAATTTACACTGACAAAAAGGATTGCATTGGCCACAAGCTGTAAGAAAGAAACAAAAGTAAATGAATATTTTAAAATACAGATTTTTATTTAACATTTCTGCTCAGCAAGGATATATTAAAAAAAACCCATTGAAAACTGTGCCTTGCTAGCCACATCACTGATACCCCTTCCTGCACTGAAACAATTACAGCAGCTATCACAAATCTGGACAAGCTATATTGCATAATACAGAATTTTGCATCTGCTGGAGTTAATTTCTTTTAGCTTATCATCTTCATTCATCACCATTTCTTTCATCAGCCCATTGGCAGATCTGTCCATCTAATAAGGAGAGCAATATCATCAGTATTTGTTCAAATATACCCTGAAAACTGAAATAGTTTTTCTATGCCTTTGTAAAGAAAAGATATTATTGTCCCTTTTTTAATAGTGGAGAAGATATGGATTGACAAATTTGTGACTGCAAAAAATGTGTGCCTAAGTACCCCAAGCTTTCATATTGTGTAGTTTGCATTTGGAAAATCTGTTTCTCTTCCCCTATCCACTGTCAGCAACCATATTGTACTATTTGAGAAATCATCCAAAATATCGTTGGTGCTATCCTGCAGCAGTTCTCTCAGAAAGTGCTGAGTCCTTTCAGATGTTGGCCCTCAGCCCAACCTGAGGCCCACCACTATGCAGTAATCAGTGACCACGAATTACTTTGGAACTACTTCTATAAACAGTGTTTTTGTGAAGGACACAAAAAGACACAACTGCCTTTCTGGGTTTTTTAAATGTTTTAACAATATGTGATAAAGTTACTTAACTAACATAAATAACTGAACAGTGGTTTGTACACAACTTTTGTATCAAAGGCAATTCTGTCCAAGTTTCTCACCATATCTCTCAAACATGTTTTCAGATTATAATTTCTGCAATGCAATGTCTATTTAGTTAGGAGAAAGTGGTGCCTTTTTACCCACTGTCTTTTCAGTCCCAGCATCCTTATGTACCCTAGAGAGCCTTCAACAACATCATGATAAGGATTCATGGGACTCACAAATTCCCAAAAATCAGAAATAAGCTGGCATTTAAACCAGCCAAGAGGGACCAAAATAAGAGCAAAGAAAGACATTACAGTAAGTAACACAATTCATGTTAAGTTCCTATGCACCTAAAATAGTTGAAAAAGACCATATAACTGACATTTGTTTCCTTTTTCAAGGTATACATTTCAAGGTAATACACCTCTACTGTTGCATGATCTACCAGCATAAATTGGAGAGGGGACAATTTCTTTTGATTGCACATTATAATAAGTCAAAGTGTACCAACAACATAATCAAATTTTAAGAAAAATAAAACCACTGATATTGTTCTTCCTTAAGAAGACTAGGGTTGAAGGGTTTATGGCAAGCCAATATGGTAAACAAAGATCCAAAATGACATCCCTGATATTTTTGGAGAGACTTTGGGAAATGTTTCACTCTTCAAAAATTAGCAGGAAATTTCTGATGTGCAGAACTACAGGTAATAAACATCCTACCTATTCACTCAGAATAGTGGGAAGAATTGAAAGACTCATTCTGGGTCAGTTCTACAGACCTTCATGGATTCACAAGTCCTCTTTTGCCTTCAAACCTGGTTGTTATTAGTCAACAGGACATCAACAACAAATTCCCAGCAAATGTTCTCACCAGCACAAAATCCAATGATAACTTGTCACAATAAAAGGAGTTGTGTCTAGTGGTACTTTCCCCCTCAGTTATCAAGAAAGAAACAATTATCTCACAAGAGCTAAAAGCAGTGAGGAATGGTGTTATAGCTTCCTCCCAAGAATGGCAAAATGTAGGTGTCACAGTTTGATGCTGGTGTAATGCCAGTGCCCCCATGAAAATAGATTCTCCCTGGTGTCTGCTGTGAGATGTGACCAGGAATAGAGCAAAGCAGGCTCCAACTTAGGAATAAAGAAGAGAAAACGTTATTAACTTACAACTATATGTAAAAAGAAACACACAGAAAGAATGAAAACCTTCCAAAAACATTCCTCCTCCCCCCACCAAATTTCCAATACATCCATCCCTCAGATCACCAACTCTTAGTCCATCACCACCCTTTAGATAATCAATTCTCAGTTCATCAAGGAGTGAGAAGTCCCTCTTGTGCTATAGGCTTCCCCTGGAAACACAGTTGAGACCTCTTGTGTTTCCATGTCACACGTGGCACCGCCTGGAGATCATTTGCCATCGTGACATCTTCCTTCAATGTCCAGTGCTCTCACCACTGCGCATGAACCAGACCTGCTTCTTGGGTTCCCCTTTTAAGGATGCTTTGTGCAGTTCCAAAAAAAATCACAGTCTCTCACTTTTGGGACACCAATCCCCCCCAAAATTCACACCCTGGGGCCGAGGGGTCTCGAGAACAGAGATCTTCTTCATCCCCGAAGACGGAGGGCACCACCGCCCTCCTCACCTGTCATCTCTGTTCACGCACTCCTTCACATAACATCACTGCACTCTCTTGGCTCCGAGCCATTGCCTCCCCCTAAATGCAGTCTTTGTGTCACAGGAAAAATGGTTCTGTCCATGGCTATACAAGAAAAGTCCAGCCAAAGGCCACTCCATCACCTCCTCCCACCTAAGATTCTTTTCCACTTCTCTCGTGGCCCATTTCCTCTTATCTCATCTCTATCTCTCTTCTCATTCAACTCCAAGAGGACCAGCATTTGTAAGGTTTCCATGATCCAAGGAAAGGGTAAAAAATCTCAGGCTCTGCCTCTCTAGAACTTCCATGGCTGCCCTGCTGGGCACCTTCTCTGCCGCACCCACCCCCCCTTCTCCCTTCTCCTTCTTGGCTGGCCATGCAATCAAATTTCAAGGTTCTTTCTCTTTCTCTCTTTCTCTTTCTCTCTCTCTCTCTCTCTTCTCTCCCTCCCCCTGGAGGCTGGGGCGGGAGGGCTGGGAATGGCTGCCCATTGGCGCTCCTCTCGGTGCTCCTCCACCCTTCCGTTCGGCAGGGGCCTTCTCCTCCCTTCTCTGTCCAAGGCCTGGCCTACCTCACCCGGCCGCATGGCTTCCCCTGCCCCACCCAGCCCGCAGCTGGGCAGGGGAGCTCTGACCTCCATCACAGACTGGACAGAACCCAAGAGAGCTTCCCTCTGGGAGTTCCCTGCTTTTAACCCCCTGTGTTCTCAGAGGTGTATCCATGTCCTCAGTGGCCACACCAGGTGCCAATATTTAAATCTGAGCAGCTATTGGTTTGACCACAGCATCCCAAAAACTCACTTTTCAAACCAGGACAGCAGGTTCATCTGCATTCTGATTAATTTTAACCTCACAATCTCATATACCACTTACTTATATGCTACTTCAGATGACAATACAGATAGTAAAACTTTGAAGATGAAATGCAGTACCTGAGCATGTTATTTCATGATACAGGCTGAGCATAGTCTGCAATTCCCATTCTGCTGCACTTTGCTTGATCACAGAGAACTGTTTGAGGTATATCAATTTTTTATCACAAGTTAACACCTTCTAAAATGAAATAACTGTAGAAATTCCAGTGGAATCCTATTTTTGGAGACATGAATATGACCACACTCACCTTATCCTTGCATTTTATCATGCCCAAGTGTAGTGTATTTTAAAGCTAATACTTCAAGTGCAATGGTATAAAAATAGAAAGGATTTTTAAAGGTTGTATTCAAAGGCAGTGAAGAGAGCCTGCAGAATGAACAGAGCTGACAGGTACAGACAGTGCAACTACTTGACCCTGTCCATATACAAAACAGCTGGTAATAACACAGGGTGAAAAGCTATCTTTTTGTGCTGATATCAGAGTGGCTCAACACATAAATAAAGTGTCTCTACAGACAATAAAAAAAAGCCAGTTCAGTTTTTGGATTTCAACTGGAAGCAGTAAAAGACCATACATTCTAACAATCTGCCAACTGTTCTGGGACTATCATTATGATTTCACTCAAGCAACAGTGATCACCTGGTCTAGGGGTAACCAGTAGGTGTGGGTTCCTGCTACTTTCAGGCTCAGCAGGGTAAGTAATTTTCTGACATGCTTTGAACAGTTTAAGATAAAACAGAGGCTTAGCTGTCAGCTCTGGCCTGCAGGGAATCAGGAAAGTGATAAAGCAAGTAAAAGATTCATAGATTTCAAAATGTGAGAAAATAAAGTAGGGCAGATTGTCTCCTGGGGTAAGAGTTCCTTTCCTCCACAACCTGTTTCTACTTAATTACTATTTTTCCCCCAGTCGCAATGAAATACTAGTCTTTTTCTCTAGGTTTCTCAAATGTGTGCCATTTTCCAGTCTATTCATTTTAATATGTATCTTTTTAACCACACACATATATACATATATATTATTTATATAAAAGTATGTATATATTTTAAAAAATTAAAAATATATATACAATACATTATGTCCCATAATTCCAGCAAAGATTGTGAGACTTGCTTTTAAAACTAAGGAACATTGAAAAGGTACTAAAGCATTCAGAACTGCTGAAATATTAAGGATTTTCATTTTAGGTCATTCCTATATTATTTCCTATATTACTGCTTAGTGCTCTTCAGGTTTCACCATCACTTTCTATTTAGAGAACTACCAAAAAACTATTTTAATGGATGAAACACAAAAGGGTTCAAAGATAATTTTATGCTGCAAACTTTAAAACAATGTTATTCTTTCAATCCATAACGAGATTACAGGTCAGCCAGAAAACGAAAAGGTTATCATGGTCATGAAAGCATGTTTCCAAAATTATTTTTAGCCACTGTCAGTGAATCTGGCATCTGCATTCTGCTTATTGCAGCATTTCAGTTCGAACATTCTGAACTTTAAGATTCTGTGGTCCTTAGTCGGTTACACTCCCTGCCAGCGGATGAATTCTGGCATCGTTACTTGTGTGAGGGTAGTCTGCAAAGGCAGACTTCCAATATAGTTAATCTTTATGGACTGCCTAGAGGCTGGAACCTCCACCAGCTGTTACAACCAAATGTCTGTCTCTCTCTCTTGTTTATTTCTCCATTGCATTTTT